TCTGCGAAACCAAATCCTTCTGCTGGGTTTCAAGGTACAGCAAACCTCAGGGTGACCCAGGATGAACATAACAGAATTTGGGTCCATAAATTAACCTTAAAAAGCAAGAATGCAAATCTGATGTTTACAACTGCCACTAGGACAGTCTCCTTCATTTTGTCCATTTGTCAGATGGCCCAAGTCTCAGGACTCGCCTATCATGGGCAGAGTGGGAGATCCAGAGCCCGAGGATCTGACTCCAGGAACCACATGCTCATTCTCTGAAAGCAAACTACAATGTGCTGTCACTGGATCGATTATGTGTAGTATTCTCTAGTTAATGACACTAACCTTCACAAACTACATGACTTTAAAAAAAAAACAAAACCAAGTTAAGATCAGGGCTTGAAAACAGCAGTTATGATGTCAGCATATGAAGAACAGACCCTTTTTGAGTATAAATTCTTTACTATCTACATTGTAAGGTAAAAACAGTAGCAATTTATCAGATCTGAGAGGTCAGCCAAATAGTTTTCAAATTTTAAGGCTTAAAAATATGAATTTGCACCCACTATTTTGAGGAGACCCTTACTACAACTGTCCTTTACCTAAGAAATAGTTAACAGGAAAACACATATAACCTTTAGGTTAGAAGTCCAGGGCTGATCCTATAGCGCCTCACCTGGAGTAGTTAATTAAAAAAAAAAAAAGTTCAGTGATAACAATTCTAGGCTATTGTGGTAATATGAATTACCTAATGTCTCTTCTAGCCATAGTCTGTCTTCCCAACAAACAACATTTCTGCCCCGCTGAGTCTGGGTAAGAGAAGGTGGGAGAAGATGCTGATAAGATGACACAATTCAACTGTGGATGCCAGCAGAGTTAACTGTAACTGCAAAAACTTGAAACTCCAGTGTGTGTTTAAATGAGCCATAGAACCCACAAGAAAAACATATATGTACACCAATGTTTATAGCAGCAGAAGACATATGCACACCAATGTTTACAGCAGCACTATTTACAATAGCAAAAAGGTGAAGACAGCCAAAGTGCCCTTCAACTGAAGAATGGATAAACAAATTGTGGTACATACACACAATGGAATATTATGTTTCATTGAAGAATAACAAGGAAGCGGTAAACCACCTCATAACATGGATGAACCTTGAGGAAATTATGCTGAGTGAAATTAGTCAGTCACAAAAAGAGAAATACTGCATAAGACCATTACTGTAAAGGACTAAGAACAAGAAATGATACTGAAAGGGGGCAAGGGGAGGTCTATGTTGGGGGTTGGGAAGGTGGTGAAGATGGGGGAGGGGGGGAGGGCGGAGCGCAGGGTGGGGATTGGCCACAGGAAAGCTTGGGTGTGAGGGAGGGGGACAATATACAGGGAGGGAGAGGGAAAGGGAAAAACAGGGCAGCTGGGAGAACAGACATAGATAAAGCAAGTTATATACACAACCTGGGAACGACAGGGCTCTGAGACACAGGGATTGAGTCATTATTGGAATGGGGGGAATCCTGTTAAGATGCTGGAATTTTTTTTTATATCACACGATTAACCAAGGGGCGAGAGTTTTAGTCTGTGTTACAGGTCAAAAACTCTCCAGTATGGATTCCAGCCTGACTAATTCGACCCTATAATGAGAGGACAGCTACTTCTCCGTCTTCGGAGCAACCCTGCCTGAGGGAGCCAGCATTCACCAAGGACTCATCTGAAAGAGTGACAGCATCTGCATCTCCATGGAGGTCCCTCTGGCAAGAGCACCAAGGAGCCAGCCAGCCAGCCGTTTCCACAGCAGAGAAGACTCTAAGAACTGTTTAACCCTTAGAGAACTGGTTAAACTCCAGAGACTTTCTGCTTCTTTGCCTGTCGGGCAGAGGGAATGGGGAGTTAATAGATGTTACTGACTTTGCAATCGTTCATCAACCATCTTAGGTTTTATTGCCTGTTAATGTTTTCAGAAGCTAGGCAATTATTGCGGTCCTGGCCCTTAAACGTGCCACGTGTCTTTGCTCTCATGTCAAGAATCACTGCACTAATAGGAATTGTTACCTTTTTTGCCCTGCCCACCATGTAAATCAACTGTCTAGGGATATTAGTCTCGCTCATACGATCCAAGAGAAAATAGATAAAGGCTTACAAAACAGACTAAATGCTTTAGAGAAAGGAAGATCGCTCAAGAGAAATAAGATTTAATATATCCAGTTTACACTCCCAGCTAAGGTTGTTCAAGATAGAAATAGATTTGCATTAACTTTCAGTAATCCAGAACTTGATTGGAGCGTAAAACAACAGCATTTTAGCACGATATGGAATAACATCCACTTGTGTCTGTGGATATTCATCAGCTACATGCTCAAATTTCTGATATAAGTAATTCTCAAGTTGAGTACTGAGTGGCTACTAATTTGCTACCCCTGCTAGAGATTAAGATCCCCTAAGAACTTAATTGAACCTCAGCGTAGTGACCCTGCTTGGTCACCTCAGAGCAGGTGGTGGTCTGGCAACATCTTGCGTATGGGGTCCCCAGCTGGTCTCCTCCCTCCTGGCCTTCTTTGGATGGCGGCTGTTTATGCTGACGTGTGGCCAGAGACGGGTAAGGATCATGTGGAACCTCGGCAACCTAAGACAGAACCATTGCCATACTGCAATGAGTTTCGATGACAAGATGGAGGAATTCGCACTGACCGCCTAAGACAGGCAGTATCCCCTAAACAAATAATAAATAAGGGGGAAACGGAGGTAGACCAGGAGTTCAAGGCCCTGTGGGCCCAAGCGTTGCAGACCATCCAAACCATAGGCTCTGAGGATCAGACTTTAGCCACCTAGCAGACATAGCAAACTGTCCCTCATCTGATTATTCAGTTATGCTTGTTAGTAATTGCATACATGAGCCCTGGATATCCACAGATAAATGTAAAAACCTTCCCTAAAAGCCGAGACTGTAAACTCCAAAAAGGCAAAGTTTTTCCCCCCAAAAAAGGAGAAAAGCCAAAGAGGATAGAGAGAAACACTGTTGACTGATGATGTATGGAGGGGATTGTAATCAATGTAATGAAACAAGTCATATGAATGGCTGAATGTGAAACTGATGATGTGCCCTGTAAACTTCCCTCAATCCACAATTAAAAACCTTAAAAAAATAAAATAAAATAAATAAATAACATGAGGCATAGCAGAAGCAGGAGGAGGGAATGTCACTACCATCAAAGAGGAAAGAACACAGGAGTGAAGTGCATTCCTTAGACCCTGAGATCCTGGTCTGTTGAATTTCCTCAAATCAACCCAGGGACAAAATCTGTAACACCAGCGGAGTGGCAGAGAAGCTGCAACAGCAGGGCCAAGAACCAGAAAACAAGACAGAGCAGAGGACTACCCAGCTCACAGAGCAAGTGAAGCTGAGGGGCTTTGGGCAGGAAGCTTGCTTGTACAGTGGGGTGCCTCCAGGCACTTAATTAAGTTGGGGAGCAAGCTTTGCTGACCCACACTTGAGCTGAGTGCTTTCAGGTGGAGGTATATGCTGGAGTGGTGTGTGCTGTGGACATTTATCAGCAGCTGACAGGAACAACTGCACCCTGAGCATTTCCTGATCCTAATTGTAACCTGTTCACTTTCCTAATGGACCCCATAACTGTGACTATGGTGTCTGAGTTCTGTGTGACCCTGACAATGGATTATTGAACCTGGTTGGGTAGAGAGGGTTGTGGAGGAATGGGCTGATACTTCATTTTTTTTTGCAGCTATTTTTATGAAGAGGAAAATTAAGAGGCCTTTCTCTTCCTTCTCATTTACCCCTCACTTCTACTCTGGGAAACTGTTACTACCTCTGCTTTACAGATGCTGAAACAAAGCTTCAACAACAACTTGTTCAAGGTTTTAAGTTGTAAGAGTACTAGTGACAGATTCAGAATGCAAGCACAGGATTTCAGGGCTTGGATTTAGTTATTTATTTATTTACGCATAGTTGTTGTTAAGTGTCGTCGAGTCGGTTCCGACCCACAGCACCCCTATGTAGGGTTTCCGAGGATCGGCTGATGTGCTTGAACCACGACCTTGTGATTCAAACTGACCTTGTAAAGCACATTATCTCACAGCGCCACACCAGGACTCCTTAAGCACAATAAATACTAAATATCTAATCTATCACCACCACCACCCTCATCCTCCAAACATTAAAAAAAGGGAGAGAAACCGTTACGTAGTATGAGCCCATAGAAATTTAGGGTAGGACCTTGAATCTATTTTCAACAAACACCCCTCATGAATCAGTATGTTGGTGTTGCTATTGTTAAGTGCTGTCTAGTCAGTTCCAACTCAGAGCAACCCTGTTACAGGGTTTCTAAGGCGTGGCTGGTGGGTTTGAACTGCCAACCTTGTAATTCACACTCCAGTGCTGATCAATTCTACAACAAGCATCCCTCAAGAATCTGTGCGTTAGCCAAGTCTTTTTTTTTTTTTTTTTTTTGGCAGATTTTAAAAATGTAAGTTACTATACAACAGCAAAGAAAGTTAACTACTTACAAGTTTACCAGGTTTTTTAAAAAAATAAGTTGTTTTTAAATTCCAGAACCATTCCTGTGTAACTTACTATCCTGTTGTTGTTTTTAGTTACCACTATAGTGGTTACAAATCAGGCTGCTAATCTCATGGTCAGCAGTTTGAAACTACCAGCTGTTCCACAGGAGACAGCCTCGGAAACTCTGTACAGGGTCACTATGAGTCGGAACCGACTCGGCACTAAACAACAACAACAACAAATATTCCAGTTCATGGAGACCCCATGAATGCCAAACTAGAACTACTCCATAGGGTTTTCAAGGCCATGACCATTTAGACAGCACACTGACAAGCCAGTCTTCCAAGGCACCGCTGGGTGGACTTGAACCACCAATTTTTCAGTTAGCAACAAGTGCATAAACTGTTTACACCACCCAGAAACTCCATTTAAATTCAGAAAGTACAAATAAAGTATTTCAAGCAATAAATTGGACATGAAATTAGTTACATTGCCTACCCAATGGAGTGAAGAACATCACAGATGAGATGAAGAACCCCAGCACTAATCCAACACACAGCATACAGAACATGAGGATTCCAAATCGCCACCATGCAGCCACCAAGAAAATTCCACCAATGCTTCCAGTCACAGCAGTTAGAATCAGACGAACTGTACAGAGGGAGGAGAACAGTTTGATCAGAAGCAACAATCCCAATCCCACGCTTAGATACACAATAGTACTGCCAGAGCCAGCCTTTCTTTTGGTCCGATACCAAGGGTTCTGCAGGGGTCTCAGGACACAAGCATGGAAAGACCCTCTTCTGGGAGGGCCTGGTCTGAGGCATGAAAACTAACCAGAAAGCTAAGCCTCACACGATTGGTGTTGTACAACCTGAACGTTATAATGAAGGAAGAAGAGGTGATGAGTATTCTATTTCTGTTAGGGGAAGAAAGTTGTTTGTCATAAGGGAAAGTAAATCTTAACATTCTGACTGCTGTAAATTTCATTATCTTCAATCTATCACATAATTTATCATTAATAATGCCCTTCATTGCTCTAAGTTTTTATATTAGAATATTAAAGAGAAGGCAATCCGATGCGGAGTCGCGCTACTTAGACTTTGCTAATTTACTAATTGGGCTGCTAACCTCAGGTTCAGCAGCTGTTCCGCGGGAGAAACATGAGGCTTTGTGCTCTCAAAGATTTACAGCCTCAGAAACCCTGTTAAGGGTCACTATGAGTCAGAACTGACTCCATGGTAAATAACAACAACAATGTACAGATTTATGAGGGGTGGTTTTGTTGTTAAATGCCATCGAGTCAGTTCCAATCCATAATGATCCTGTAGGCAGTTTTCTGAGGGGCAGTTGGTAAGTTTGAACCACCAACCCTGTGGTTCAAACAGACTTTGCAGTCTAGAACATTACCCCACAGCACTACACCAGGACTACTTATGATGGCTATTTGTTGAAAATAGGTTCAAGGCTCTATTCTAAATCTTTAAGGAATTTCCCATACAGATTAACACACAAGAAAATAAGGTCTGAATGTATACTTCAAAAAAGATGTTCAGAGGATAAGTGGCCCTTTATTTTACCCACATAATGAGACTTTAAGGAGCTCTGGTAGCATAGTGGTTACCAATCGGGCTGCAAACCTCAAGGTCAGCAGTTCGAAACCACCAGCTGCTCCATGGGAGAAAGAGGAGGCTTTTTGCTCCTGTAAAGATTTACAGCCTCGGAAACCCTGTTCAGGGTCGCTATGGGTCAGAACCGATTTGACGGCACTTACCAACAACAACAATAATGAGATTGCACACAGGACTGGTCAAACTGTAGAAGGAAGGCGTGTGAACAGCAGCTTCATATAAGAACAATTAATTGAACTATATAGTTTTCTCTTACCATCATATTTAATAGATGTCAGTCTTGTAACCAGTATATAAAAGAAGAATCCAATGAAGATGAAACCTATGAAGAATAATTCTAGTAGCAAATCACCAGGAAAGAGAGAAAACAAGCTTTGATTAGGTACTCTTTTACAAAGTAGTTTCAATATCTAATCTATAAATGTATGCTTAAACTCCCAGAACTTACACATCAGTGCATTCAGAGTTATCTAAGAGAAATAAGAAGTTTAGAAGTCATTGGAAGTAAATTATTACTAATTGGAGAGAGCATTGAAGTATTAACTACAGGGTGTATGCTTTTTAAAATCTAGGTCAATTTCAAGTATTTAACTGTCAGTTGTTAATTTCATAGCTCATTTTAGTATATTTATATTTCCTACTTAAAACAAGAATAGTACTTCTGTCCCTAATGTCTGATCTGAAATTAACACTAAGTGTTAATTGCCGAGTCAGTTCTAACTCATAGCGACCCAGTATAGGGTTTCCAAAGCTGTAAATATTTGTGGGAGAAGGCAAAACTTAAATTTGAAAAGTTAAAAAAATATATAACAATATATTCCAAAACAAGGTGTCAGAGCAAGCTTAGCTGGCATTCTTTGTCATTGCATCATTCTACACTTCCAAGAATACTCTCGGTCCAACTAATCAAGAGAGTAGTAAAGGGATTGTTGTTGTTGTTGTTAAGTGCCAT